TTTGTACGAAATATACGATGACAACAAAACTAAAATGACAGGTATATTTATAATGATATTTATAAATATATAATGACATTTGTAAATATACCTGTCATTTTAGTTTCGCTGTCATCGTTGTCAGATTGACAACTAACTTAAGTTGGTGCTCGTCTCATAAATAAATATGTAAATTTTTATTGAAGTAAGCACGCAGCTGTCATAATTGTTACATAATGAAATGATTTAAACGTCAAAAAAGTTACGTACGTCAACAATTCATACATTAATGAAAATTATTATAATGATTCATATTTATATTACAATGATTAAAAAAGAAAATTACGACAATTTCATTCATTGATTATCTCGAACTAATTCAGTGAATGTTGAAATGTAAAATCTATTACTAAACCTATTGATAATACGATTTCTACTTCGTCTGGTGACAGACACTATCAGATATTTAAATAATTCTACTTTCGAATTCGGAGTATTTAAATGCGTCAAGATAAAATGATATTCATTAAACTAATTAATTAGTTATTTTATTAGTTTGCTGGATGCAGTGTAAGTTTTATTTGTAAACACTCGAATTACTATAGAGATTTAGATTGTTGTTGAGCTCTTCTGGTATCCAGTGAAAGGCAAGGTTTCACCCTTCACTCCTATGCATAAATTCTGCACGATGTCTAGTCTCAGGAGACCCAAAAAACTACTGCAGATAACGTACTGCGCAAGGTGTGGTATTCGTACTTGTCAATGGTAATCTTATGAATTACACATGAAATAGAGTAGAAGAGTATGATCATAAATCACAAATATGATGTAATATGAATTACTAATTGAATATTTGAAACAATAATTTTTTTACTATAAATAGCAGAAAAATTAGGGTCAATAAAAGTTTGTAAATACGAATCAAATAAAACTAAATTTATACTGAAATTATATATGAAATAGAATTTGAAGATTATTTAGTTCAATTTATAATTCTAACAACTACGAAGTTATAGATGAGATTAAGATGTTGTGGAAATCAAATGTTATTTAATAGAGCTTCGAGATTACTATTACAAAACTTTCATACGTTGAAGACGTTATTTATTTCATACGCTCACATAAATGTGAGATTCGAGTTCGAAAGCTATAGACTACATAAGAGTTTTATTTGTTACCAAGCAAAAAAACGTGAATAATGTATATATCGTATTTTATATATTTATATAAAAGCAATTCGGCTTTAATTGACTAAAAAAAATATATTAATTAAATTCATTGCGTAATTTTTATTGCTTTTTTTTAATTCTAGTAAATTTGTAGAAACAATCGTGAAGAATCTCACAAAGAAAAGAAACTGTTGATCCTGTGGGAAATTGCACCGAAATAATAACGTCGACTCATGTTCCATTACTCAATAATCACAATCTTGATTATCATCATCTTTTGATGCGTACATTTCGTTTACCAATTATCGAAACATGCAACTGCGTCTCTCTCTCAATGTTAACTGATCGTGTTCTCCGGTAAATAAAAGGTATCTGACTTCCGACCGATGTACATTATTATCTCTACGACAATTATGGAAATGAAAGACAGATTCGGCATCGGCACGAACGTTTCATTAGTGTCAAGGATGTCCATCGTCATTGTTGTTGTTGTAGTTCCACTGCGCTCTGGATCAGAGCAACTTCTCAGAGACGTTTCGAAATTTACGCATTTACGAGGATCGGAACAAGAATTATCTCTCGTTCACGAACAATGCTTTAATTATAGATTTCTAACAATTATTTTTTTTTGGCAGTCTCCTTTAATTAGCATTCAATTCGATGTAATTACTGACTCGAATATTTTGTTTGCAACTTAACTGGATTTCGTACATTTTTTTATAATTAAGACTGATAGTTTAATCATTTTGCATACTTATTGAAGAGCTCGTTTTGAACGTTTTGAACTGTCATCAACATATGATTTTGAAATGTTGCAACTTGGATCAACATTTATCATCATAAATTTATCACTCTCACAATCATCACATATAGAGACTATTTGTAATACTGATTGAAAGAATGACGCAAATCTCAATTGTCATTTATACATCAAAATTATGTCATCAATATATAATTATGAAAGGTCAAAACTTGGATCAAGATATATCAACACAAACAAACAAAAATAATATCCTGATTATATCACACTAAAACATGTTTAATAACTATTTGCAAAAGTGATTACAAGAAATGAAGTTGTTTCGGATTTTCCGATGATGAACCTTCAAATTGACTATTTGGTAAGCCCCAAATGACTTGGAATAGTGTCATCAACACATGATTTTGAACGGTTACTACTTGGATCAAAATGTGTCAACATCATAATAACATCCTGATTCTATCAAACTTAAACATACATAATAACTGTTGCCAATAGCGATTGCGATAAAAAAGTTTTTACCTGTTTATTTGAACGTTAATGAATTTTTAGAAAGTGTGCCCTTGGCTGAATATTTTCTCTTGGACGATTTTCGAAAAAATAAAAATGATATTCAAAATTTCTATATCTCTCACGTTTCCCATACGATCATCAGGAACTCAATACGATTTTTTTAAAAGGCGAAAAATACTAATTAAGATTAACCTTTCAAATAATTACAAATAAATAATATCAAAATAACGCAGTTTTTTTATAATCTGTCTTTCCAAGAAATTGGAGAAGTACAAGTAAACTTTTGACAATTTCTTCAAGAATGCACTACGACAACTACCTAAATTTGTTTTACATCAAAAACTCTGTGTTTTTTTCTTGGGTTTATAGTATTATTGCTCTTTGCAGGAAGTGATATAATTCCATCGGCGTTTCAGAAGATTGACATTAAACCCATTGTTCGTCGCGGTTAAACTCGACTCTGGAATACAGAATTCTTCCGTGACGCAACTGCAAAGCAGTGACTTATGGATAAACACAAAATAATGTGGACTCGGTGGTGCAGAGCGCATTCCGAGCAACTCGAACGTGAAATGGATGATGTTTATTTTTTTATGTACTTCTATACAAAAGTCCTCTGCTCCGTACGTTCTGTAGCATGTTCTGATTGCGTGGAAGCAAGTGTACACGGGCAAGTAAGAGTGTTCTCGAATGCAACGAAAGCAAAAGGAACAAGAAAAACTGTTACCTGGTCAGGAGGCTTATGTAACGCGTCTTGTTTCATGCATGCATTCGTGTACGCGCGTTACACATACGCCGAGTTTTGTCCGCTTTTTTATTCGTTCTTGTTTCCTTCGTATATTTCCTCTACCACTAGATCACGTTGTCCACTGCGTTGCGCAATCGTGCTAATTAAGGTAAAGTGTAACGAGATTTCATGCATCATCAGTGAATGTTCATTAAGAATATAAAGCGTGTCATTTAGTTAGTCTTTACGTACTATCCACAAAAAAATGTTCAATTAATTTAAGTCTAAATTATAGATAGTTTTCATTAAATCCACTGGTGCGTAAACACTATTCAATTCTATATTTCAAAGCAGCGTTTCTCAACCTTTTTATTCCGCTATCCAACAATTTTTATTGTAGTTGTACAGCGATTCAATTGCAAAGAATATTTCACCAGTTCCTCGTTTTGACATAAGGTGACAGCTGTCATTTCGAAACCCAACTTTGGATCACTCTGACAAGTACCTACTTGACAAATTTCAAGTACTATCAAGTTCTAATCAAGTCCATTCCAATTATATATTAATATTATTCTAACTGAATAACAGCAATATCTAAATCTACAAGAACTACGTTTTCTTCAAAATACCAAAAATTTGCATGATTTATTTCTAAATCTTGAATAAAATCTTACATTTTTCTATACAAGCGAATATTATTTACATCATTATTTTGTAGTTACTTTGATCATTCCGACCAAAACATATCGTTATTATTTTTCGCATCATATTGCAATATTAATAATACATTTTCAAAACGCTTTTATGTAAAACCAGTTCAGTTAAAACTCAATATAAAAACAAAAATATTGAAATGTACTTAAAAAAAATACACAACTAAGGTTGTTCACGCGTCCTTGAATAACGTTATTTTGGAATACAGACAGCCATGTATTCTCCTCCTAAAAATTAATCGTTTTATAATGAAAAAAAAAAATCAAGTTTTCATATATGTAATTAATATGTGTTTTATATATTTCTAAAATATAATGAAATTGGGCTTTCAATTATTACTGTCAAAATACATTATTTTGTACTTGTTGCATAATATTTTATTATAATTGAATACCATTTTTGTAACAGATTCTTTCAAACCTTTTTGTTTAGTAAAATGAGTGTAATTTGAATTTCTTCAAGTTGCTATGGTAATGTATAACAAAGCTGAGTAATGATAAATTAAAAAAAATAATCATATTTCCATAGCAACAATGGAAATGTGTATCAAATCTATGAAATGTATTTCATTTATGAGTAGTGAATAGATTTGAGTAAGTCTCAAAACAAAAAAGTGAATGAAAACGAAGTAAATAGTAGATTTATTCTTTTCGTGGCTTTCTGTAAATACCGGATACACGTCCGCGTGTAATAAAGGAAACTCGGGCTGCGTTTTTCATAATGAATACCAGAAAGGATGGATATAACAGAAGTACTGTGAATGTACCGTACATTTATTACATTTGCGTTGCGCCGTTTTTGGTAGTGCAGCAGCAGCTAATCGCGAGTTTCCAAAACCGGACTCGAATCGAATAGCTAGCTCATCAGGATGCAACTTTCTCGCCTCCGCGATCGAAATCGATCGATTAGAAAATCTTATTCAAATGATGTATAGAAAGTGTTTTCCAAGTTCACGTCTTTCTCATTCTTTTTTCTGCATGATTCATAATAGCTAATCGCGAAAATGGGGAAAAAGAAAGCTTTCGCGTCGCAGTTTTCCAGCAGGAAGCTGAATCTCATGGATCTCAAGAGTATGCGACCAGCAGTCTCTTTCTTTCGCGTTATGTAAAAGCGCAAAGTCCTGCACGATCCTTCTTACCATTTTTGCTTCTAACTTGTGGAAACTCTAGGCGTATTTCCTATCGGGCTGGCATTGAGCAAACTCACACTAAACACAAACGCGGGGTGATGAAAAAGTCTTTCTCTTTATTTTTTTTTTGTATTTTGATCGAGCTTCGGCTCTTATTCCGAACGTGGGTGGGTTGCTGCTGTCTTCGGGAGCAAAACCGACCGCACCTTTTCACACATACAAAACAAATGGCAGTAGGCAGGATTTGAAGTTCCTCGATGACTGCATAAGTTTTATTTTGTGTTGGTCTTGAGCTCCGGCCTCTACTACCACTCTTCTTGTGCTTCGCTTTGGGTTGGGTAATGTGAAAGGTGATTTTAGCGGGGAGCGCGCGATAGACACGAAGACAGAACTCAAGAGAACACACACACACATGCATACAGAAGAAAAAAAAAAGAATGCGAATAAATCAAAATAGAAAAATATCCATCGCATATTAAGTTTTTATTTCGGTGAAACCGTTTTCTGATTAATAACTAGTTCCCATCCGTTACGTAAACAATTAGACGAGCGGGGAGTGAAAAGAGGATAGGACTTCTTTTTTTTTATTTCTTGATTTATTCACTTTTTTTTTGTTCGCTTGTTCTTTCGAAGCACTTTCGATTGATGCATTAATTAGCGACGCGCATTTCACGGGGAAAGTATTTGTGGCAACGTTTGTAACGAAACGTTTGACCGTTCACAATGGACAGTTGACCTTACGTGTGCGTTGCTGCACTTCCACCACGTACTCATCGATAATTGCACACACCACTATTAGTTCCTGCTGCAACTCGGCCACTGTTTCGTCGATTCTCTTTACATTATTATCTTTCTTTTTTTTTTGAGAAATGAAGAAACGAAAGTCCATTTAAATTTTTGAGTGAAATGCTTTCGATATTTAATTGCCAATTATGTTAACCGCATTCACTTGCTTGAAACGAATTTTAATAAGAATAACTTAAAAAATAACAAAGTACAGTGGAATCTTGCTTAACGAGTTTCAATATTCAAAAATACACATAATATGTGTACACAAGTTTTAAAAATGATGTAGTAAGCGCGCAATCCGAAACTTCTCTTTCTCGTTATGCGAAACGTCGCTCGTTAAGCGAGTCATTTTTCTTACAATTCAATTTGGTCGTTAAGCGAAATGTTCGTTATGCGAGGTGCTCGTTAACCGAGTTATTTATAATAACTATTGACTAAAGAATTAGAATAATTAAGAAAATGCAAAGATTTAATAATTCTAAATAGTTAATTCGTAATTTGTAGTTTCTGTAATTATTAGAAGGTATTTCAAGTATAATTAGTGTTTTTAATTATTTGATTGTTATTTAAAAAAAAAACTTCTGTGTACAGTTGATTTTTATTAATTCGCTGAATATTTCTACTTATAATATTTACGTTTTCAAAGATATTTCTTTATAATAATCTTATGAGACAATAAAAGAGTCTGATAATGATATTGATGTAATGATATTTTCTCAACAATTTCCAGATTTTTACTCGTACAGTGAAACACATTTAACAAATATACATAATATACGTACACAAGTTTTAAAAATGAAGTAGTAAGCGCGCAATCCGAGACTTCTCTTCTCATCGTCACTCGTTATGCGAAACGTCGCTCGTTAAGCGAGTCCTTTTTATTACAATTCAATTTGGTCGTTAAGCGAAATGTTCGTTATGCGAGGTGCTCGTTAACCGAGTTATTTATAATAACTATTGACTAAAGAATAAAAATAATTAAGAAAATGTAAAGATTTAATAATTCTAAATAGTTAATTTGTAATTTGTATTTTCTGTAATTATTAGAAGGTATTTCAAGTATAATTAGTGCTTTTAATTATTAAAAAATAACTTCTGTGTACAGTTGATTTTTATTAATTCGCTGAATATTTCTATTTATAATATTTAAGTTTTCAAAGATAATTCTTTATAATAATCTTATAAGACAATAAAATAGTTTGATGTAATGATATTTTCTCATCAATTTCCAGATTTTTACTCGTACAGTGAAACACATTTAACAAATATACATAATATACGTACACAAGTTTTAAAAATGATGTAGTAGGTGCGCAATCCGGGACTTCTCTTCTCCTCAATGCAAAACGTTGCTCGTTAAGCGAGCATTTTTCTTACATCATTTTTCATTTTGCTCGTTATGCGAGGTGCTCGTTAAGCGAGTTTCCATTGTACATAGCTCTTCTTTACTTACTATTTGATTTTCACCCAAAATGTCATCAACAAATTATTACAAAATATATTTAATCATATGAAATATTTATTAAAAAATCAGATTTGTCATGAAAAGTTACTAAACTCAACAACATTTTTTCTAGCTTCACAACTGCTTAAGTCAATTTAAGATTGGCTTAAGTATATGTAAAAAAAGACGGAATACTCGAGAAATATTAATCAAAATGAGATTAGATTCAATAGGTTAAAATTCTCGAAAAACAAAATTGCCTTTAAAATTAGGTTAGGTTATATAAGGTTACATTAAATTAACTTTAGTTTTCAATTGAAATCTTAACTTAAAGTAAAGAAATTATCCAAACTTTCATATAAGTTTAGATCAGATTAAGTTAGCTTATATTTTCTTATAAGATTGTTTGTATATTAAGAAAATCTTTGGTAAAAGCCGTCTCGATGTTGAATAAGTTTATTAAGAATTATCCTTTCATACTTATTTCAAAAAATCTATTTATCCATAACGAAATAAACGTTCGATGCAGTTTCCAATTCTTTTTTTTTTATAATCTCTTGCAAATTATGTGTTAAAATATTCCGGTGAATGGATTATTAACGAATTTGATTGCCATTCATTTACTAATTAATGCTATTCCAGTTTTTTTTTTTAGTTCCCTCCAGTTTACCTTCAATATTTCTCCAAATCCAAAAATAAATCCAGGATGCTCAAATTAGTTAATTTAATTTAAACATCATTTTTTACAATTAATTAATCGAATATATGATTTTATGACAATAATAAAAATATCTAATTTGCGTCATCATTAACTTATGTCTCTATAAAAAAAAAGCATAATGTGGGCATTCTATTATGCAATAATTGTTTGTCACAATACGAACTGACATTGAAATCGTTAATATTACATAATATCCAATTTATAGGTCAATTGATAATATAAACAAAATATTAATTTAAAGAAAAAATGAGATCACAAAGTATTTACAGTGCGTTAGTTTTACTGTTATTAAATTGTTGTTTAGAATTACCATTTTCGAGCGTAAATTATTACGAATAATGAACAGTTGTCGCAGAATCCGTTAATAATTATCATTTAAAGAATGCATGCATACGAATTGCGTAAACATTACGCAACTGCGCATTGCGTAATTGAATTTGTTTTTATCATTGATCATGTAAATATTCTATACATGTTTCTGAATTCATAACGTGACTTAATTCTAATTCGATTATTAATGTTATGAAAGTTGAAATGAACCGTTAAAGTTAGAGACTTCATTAAGAAAATTAGGTATAAATTTATTCCTACTCCGCACTCTCAAGAATACGTTCCGGGCATTCCTTATCCCCATCTCATCTATACAGAGTGGGACTATCTGAATCGGACCTTTGTTCTTGTGGAGCTATAGGTACAATTAAGTATCAGTGAAATGCTGAAGAGTGTGGACAGCTGGAATATTGTAGCGGCGTACATATCAGATGTGCTACTAAGCAAATAAGAAGACGAGTGGAGGCTGCATAGGGCCTACGAGAATAGTGGTAGTGGAGGCCAGCATTAACATGATGTAGGGGAAGTGCCAGAGAGGCAAAGACAATTAGCATCGCAGAGTAGTATAGTGATACAAGTCTTGCATGCTGACGAAGAAGGGGAGAGGTTTTAGTGCGGTAAGAATCCCACAGTACCACGACTACACCCGTGGTCCCTATGAAAGGTTTCCTCTCGTCTACAAAAAAAAAGATATCCTCTCTGAGTGCTCTAACAACGCTGACTACTTTGTATCGTTTCGAAACACCAACAGCTGTCCACTTCTGTCAAAACCATCATAGCTTAAAACTGCACGGAAGTATATAAGGCCATCATCAATTTTGTACTATCAACTAACGCCGCCCTTTAACAAACTATAATCAATCATACAACCTTACTCAACAATTATTAGTATGCGTACCTTGCTGCATTCCATTTAACAAAACAAAACACAACTACATAAACGATCCGAGGTTCATCCATTTTTTCCATCTGTTTAGAGTCGTCAGAACCCCGGCTCGAAATGTTTATGTATCAACTTAGGCCACATACACACTGGGGAGGCACCCTGTGACAGGTCGAGGTTTCAAGGTGTGGTGTCCCAGGGTTAAGAAATCCTTGGACACCGTGGATTATCTCGTAGTTATGTGGTTGCGGAGTCTTAGAGGGGTTTATGAATATTAAATGCAATATTCTTAATTAACTTTATTGTATACATTGTATACATGTTTTATTGAGAAGTCAACTAAACAATAGTTGATCTCAGGTATTATTAACTAAGAGTTACATTCTCCTCTTAAGTTAGTGTTTATGAAGTAAGTGCTCTTTCTTGGACTATCCCAAGTAGAACTTCTTCTCAGTTCAACCCCTTAGCTAACACTACCTCTCAGTTTGGTCCCCTGACTAAGACTAAATTATATAATACAAAAATGTGTTCATTTCAAAAAGAGGATGCGTGGGAGAAAAAGGTTAAGCTGTTAAGTGGTTGCAATGGACGCAACTATACGATTTAATGTGTAACTTTCCTTCGGAATATTCCACAAGTTATTCTAAATATTGACGTACAAGTATCCGTTTGTATATTTGATGGATACATTAAATATGATTTGTAATAATTAAGAGGAGTCATGGCCCTAACAAATATACATATTAGTTATACAATAGATGACAATAAATTGGTCGGCCACGACATAGGGTCGAGGTGGGAATTTTCTCCCCCTCGATTTACTGGTTTTACAGAGGTTTTAACTAAGCACTCACCACTTTGCTTAATAATTGTAGATAGTAAATGATCCTACCGATATGTGACTGGCAAATGGGTCCCAGCTAAATGTGAAGGGGTTTCCAGAAGGAAACTCATTACTGGAAGAAGAAGACGAAGAAATGTATTCCTCAATGCGTAATTTCAAATTACAGGTACTCCCGTACTAACGAACAAAATTCTATAAGCTCTAACTTGTTACAAGGAGATATATAGTGATAAAAAAATAACTGTCCAAACAAAAATTGATAATTTCTTTGATAAAATATAATATTTTTGGAAGATGTACTATCTATTTTATTAAATTTGTTTCTTTTGTCGTTTTTTTTATAAAATAATTGTGACGTCTAC